AATATACAAAGACAACATATATTATACAACGATCATTGAAAGTTTCATCCTCGTACGCATATTTTCAAACCGAACCTACTATGATTGACTGAAAGGCAAAAATGCATTTTTCGGACTTTTAGCCCTTTGGTCTTGTGATTTAGTATTTTGCTGCAATTTTAGTCCACAAAATTTTAAATTACAGGACTTAAATTACTAATCGAAAATCAGAGAATTTGAGAATTTATCCAAATGAAATTGCAGCAAAATATTAAATCTCAAGACCAAAAAGCGAAATGTTGGAATTGCTATGGCGTTAAACCATGACTAAAAACAGAATTTCGCCTTGACTTAAATCATCACAAAACCAAATGGGAACAGAATAGCATTATCTTGCAAACGGAGCACATAAGTTAGAAGCAAGAACAACAATCTCACATCTACAGCTGAGGATCACAGCCATATATTATACAACGACCCATTTGAAAGTCAGTCTCGTATGCACGTTTTCGAGCCGAACCTATCATAATCGTCATAAATCATCACAAACCCAAATGGGAAAAGAAAAACATTATCTTGCAAACGGAACACATATGTTAGAAGCAAGAACAATAATCTCACATCTACAGCTGAGGATCACAGCCATATATAATATAACAACCAATTTGAAAGTCATTCTCGTATGCACATTTTCGAGCCAAATCTATCACGATCGTCATAAATCATCACAAACCCAAATGGGAAATGAAAAACATTATCTTGCAAAAGGAACACATATGTTAGAAGCAAGAACAACAATCTCACATCTACAGCTGAGAATCACAGTCATATACAATACAACGACCCATTTGAAAGTTATTTTCGTATGCAAGTTTTCGAGCCGAACCTATCACGATCGTCACAAATCATCACAAACCCAAATGGGAAAAGAAAAACATTATCTTGTAAATGGAACACATATGTTGGAAGAAAGAACCACAAAGTCACATCTACAGCTATGGCTCACCATACACAGCAATCTTTTTCACTGAAACACGCACAGGACTATATATAGAAGCTAAGCAAACCTTAATTTCAACAATCTAGCATCTTCTTCATGCCCATCCCAGAACATAAAAGAACACGAAAATAATCAAAAGAATTTCCATAAAATGCGAACGCCCCGAGTTCTTATTCTAACTCCATTTCTAAATCGCACCAATTTTGCACCTTTACTTCAATTCATTATCGATCACCCCTTGAGCTAGAATTTCCAGCGACTTACCCGAGATGCATATGACCGAGAAAAGGAGAAAAAGATGGCGCCTTTCCGAGGATTTTCGTGACCTATCCTGGTAAGAAACCTCGAAGTCTTGTGCTTGTAAGGGGAAATGGAGGGCAGTGAAGAACAAGTTGAGGAGAGCGCAATTTTGTTTAGTGCAGATGCCATTTTGCTGCGAATTGTTATAGTTCGATTTGTTTTTCCTTTTCTTCTCAAGCTTTTGGGGGCTACTGACGATGTTCGATGATTACGAGGAACGGTTTGTTATAAACTTGAATTGATGAGCAAACTCGGCTCCACTTTCTAAAGCTCAATATCGATCAGTTCATTAATGTTCAAGCCCAATTATGCTCTTTTGACAAACGAATCAACTCGAGCTTGTTAAAGCTCGATTCGTCGATGACTCGGTTTCGTTCGGCTCGTTAAGAGTCAAACAGAAGAATTTTTATATATCTTATTCTATAACTAATTGTTTAATATTGACAAATGAGTTTGATTAGTAGCTCATTTAGTTAACGAGTCCTATTGAACTCGACTTGTTAGATGTTCATACTCAAGTACAATAATCCTGAGCTCGATTAAGCTCAGGATTTCGACATGAAAGTGGTGGAAGCGTCGTTGAAGGGCGATCGGGTTGGTAAAATAAGAGAACCAATTTATGATAATCGAATCTTTAAAAATAAAAATAGATAACCAAACCAACATTAAAATACCAATAAAATATTTTGTTTTTAGCCGAAACTACATATATTTATGATAATTAAAATGTTGTATGACATAATAAAAAGGATTGTCATGTAGTTGATTTTAGGGCTGGTATCGGTTCGTTTACCGAACCGAAACCGATACCGAACCAATTTTTTCGGTAAGTACAAATATGAAACTGTTATTCGGTTACCGATTACAAACGGTTCGATAACGGTTTCCTACCGAAAAATCGAATTTACAAGTAATAAATGAGAGGGCCAATTTTTTTTTTTTTTTTTTTTTTTTTTTTTTTTTTANAAAACAAAATGTGTGAGATGAGCATGCATGAAATTAATACTCATCAAATTTTGACTATTGTAGTTATACAATGATTAATAGAAATATACAAACCATAAAATTAATCCACAGATGCGCAAAGTGGTCGAGCATACTATGACTTTTGCTGAGGGAAATTTGTCCGCTAACAGGGCATGCAATATCCAGAATGAATGTCTGCAACTGTTGAATTTCTTGAATATTGCTTATGATGGTTTTCATGTCCTGAATATTGTTTAGTAATTATATCCAAAAGTTGCTTGCTCTGTTATGCATTCACAAACTATATAACATAAGTTATTACTTATTAATTATTAGTATTAAGTTATTAATATTAGTATTAAGTTATTAACTATTAACATTAAGTATTATTTTTTTTTTAAAATTCCTTATCGGTTCGTTTCGGTAAAACCGAACCTCTATGGTTTCGGAACCGATAATCGGTTACCGTTTTAAGTGAGTAGGTTCGTTTTAGTTTTTTTTTTCTCGTCGGTTCGATTCGGTTTCAGTTTTCGGTCAAAAAATGCTAGCCCTAGTTGATTTATATTCATTTACAACTATTGGTAAATTAGTATTATTGTTAGTGAAACGTGATGGTCATATAATCATATTTTTTTCAACATAAGCATATAAATTTAAGTTGTAATGTCATATTATAAAATACAACATAAATAGGAATACAACATTTCATAACATAAATATGTATTTTATCGACAGTGTATGAAAACCCGAGTGCCTAATGGTTAGGCTCATTACACAAAAGTTTATGATGTTCATTATGTGTGGACCGGATCAAGAATTTGGTCCTAACACAAAAAGATCCAAGTAACTCAGCCCAAACAAATTTATATTTACCTGTAAAACATTGTTTAGCCATAAAGAGATAAAGCCCAGTACATTATTGCGCAATTTATAAGAGCCCAATTTGCAGAAGCCACTTCCAAAATTCTGTACAATTCGAAAGGTAAACACAGAAAAACACTACTCGTCTGCAAGACTGCAACTTTAGGGAACAGAAAGTGGATAAGCCGGCAAATTTTGCACTTCACACGCAGTGAGGTTGAAGAGGAGATGTTGGCGGCAAGCCCTAATTCTGGCTTCCACCTTCCTCCCTCGCGCGCGAAGGCGTCAAATTCCGACAAGCTCAGAATATTCTCTCATTTTTCACCGGCGAATTGCTCTCGTCCCTTGAAAAATCTGCAGTTTTGGTCCATTTTGCCGCGCAACTCTTTTATTCGGGTTTCTCGAGCGAGAAAAAGGAGAAATGCGAGTAGGAGCTTGTGTAATCACTTCGCCATTGGAGCTTGTTTAGCAGCAGAGCCCCGGGTTCAGCATGAGGAGGCGGTTCAACAGTCATTTGCTCCGCACTCAATCAAAATCCCTGTTGGTGATCGCCATGTAAGTCTCTTTTGATCGCTGCAGTTAAATTCAGTAGTTTTTGCGAGTTAGATAGATAGTCAGCCGTTTGTTCGGAGTTTAGTTAGTATAGCGACCGAGACATGGCGTAAACGTGGGAGCTTCCGAGCAATCGACACTTTTTTATCTTTTCATTTTGAGTGAAATGATCGTTGGAGTTTTCATCTATGAGGAACATCTCAAATTCTATGATAACTGAACTATGGGCGATGAAATTAGAACTGTCATCAACTCTGATGGCTGTATTTTTTTTGTCATTTTTATTCCCGCCGCATTCTTGGTTAGTGGTTTTGGTGCTTCTGTATAATCAATTTTCCATTTTATCCTGCATTTTATGAATATTCACAGATCTTAGTTGAGACTGGTCACATGGGGAGACAAGCTAGTGGTGCTGTTACTGTTACAGATGGGGAAACTGTAAGTTATGAGTATTGAAGAAACTATGTACTGTTTCAATTTTAGCTGAATTCTTACATTAGTTTTGTAGATGAAACTAAATCATGATATTGCTCTATAACTGTTGGGGAACTTGTTCTTTACGAATGTTGATCTGTATTTCTGTATGTTTAGCGATCTTCAATTGAAGTTGGTCAGCGTACTTCTGGTTTGAATAAGTTGGTTTGCCATTTTTCTTGTAGATTGTCTATACGACTGTTTGTTTGGCTGATGATCCAAGTGAGCCATCGGATTTCTTTCCTCTTTCTGTAAACTATCAAGAGCGATTCTCAGCAGCTGGTCGAACGAGGTAAATGTTTGCCATTTATCTGTCCCCTTTTCAGTGGCTTGTAACTTAATTAAAAAACTTGTCTTTGTGTTTCTACTTTCCACTGTCCAGCGGTGGGTTTTTCAAGCGAGAAGGAAAGACAAAGGACCATGAGGTATACATGCTTCTGTTTGATGTTGTTTACTGTCTGCTGTTTGGAGGTGGATATTTTCATAGTGAACTCCGAATACTACATATCTAATTCCATATGTACCAATTAACTGTATGCAGTTTCCTTATACAGGTTCTAATTTGTAGACTTATAGACAGACCTCTGCGCCCAACTATGCTTAACGGATTCTATCACGAGACACAAGTACTATCTTGGGTATTTTTTTTTTCTTTTTTCATCTTTTAACTAAAAAGCTGTGAAAGTATACAGTTTTTTTATTGTTTATCTTCATTCATCTAATATCTGTCAAGTATTCTTCTCAAACCAAGTTGTCATACACAAATAAGTAAAGCTAGAAAGAAACAAGGGATAGTAATATGACTAGAAATGTTGATTTGGTAGAGATGAGAGTGATCTATGAAATAGTGAATATATTTTATTTCGCAATCATATTGTGTAGATGAAAACCAAGAATCTTGGTTAATTATTGCTCAAGTAAGGCCTGAGGCTAAACAGAGTTGTGTGTTTTGGACGAGATATCATATACTTAAGATCCAAAATCCTGAACTTTTGTTATTTGGGGTCCAGATGTGCCAAGTATATTAGAATATTTTATCGGTTTGATTTTTTCCCTCTTAAATTGGTTTCCTTCAATCAAACTGAGTGAATTTAGCCAGAATATCTGTATGAAGCAACCTTATGTAAGATTAAGAACCAATGTTTAAGCAAAGTTCTGCCTATGGTACCAACTTCAGTGGCTTTCTAGTCAAGCCAAGTCAATTTGAGTTTTGCAGCACTGGTGTATAGCTTGTGCCTCTTTAACTTTCAACTTCTCCATGACTCAGGTACTGAGTTATGATGGTTTACATCCCCCAGATTCTTTAGCGGTGACTGCAGCTGGGATTGCAGTGTAAGTTTACTGGTCTACTTTCTGGGTGCAGGTTAATGCACATGTTACTAATTCAAGGCATTGATGTATTTTTGTATAAATTACGATAGAGCTCTTTCAGAAGTGCCAAGTTCTAAAACTATTGCTGGTGTTCGAATTGGCCTTATTGGTGATAAGTTTGTTGTGAATCCGACTACAAAAGAGATGGAAGGCTCTAAATTAGACTTGTTGCTAGCGGGGACGGATAGTGCAATATTGATGATTGAGGTATATACTAATTTCTATTCTGCATCGTTGTTTGTTCTCTTATGCATTGGAAGTAGCCAAGATTGTTATTTGTTGTAAATTTTTTGGTTCCCTTTGATGTATTGGCAATTAATTATTTAGCTTAACAGTTAAATAATCTTCGTAAGATTTTTTTTTTTGGTGCCACTTGTAATTTCTGGGTAGGATTTTCAAAAATTTGGTGTGTCTTTAAATTATTGTCAATTTATCTTACTCGCTCTACTCAATACCCTGTATTCTAAGTTCTAGCAATGATAAAAATGCTTTATGATGGAAACAAACCCTTATAGGCAAGAATTTTGTATGACTGATGATGCCCCACGTGGGCCCGCATCCTGCGGCATCACTTCTTACAGAACCCACTTGAGGTCTCTCCTATGTCCCAGTATCACATGCTGACGCTAAGGGGGTGATTGAGTAAAAGTTATGTTGTCCATTGCAAATGGAGCTGGAAGAGTCATTGTTGACAATTCTCCTGGCATAGTGCTAATAATGGACTAGATCAAAATGGCTCAATTAAATTCTAGTGCTTCTTCTATTAGTGAAGTTTCTAGAAAAAAAAAAAAAATATCAAACGGCGCAATGCACCTTGGGTCGCTACGGAAACAGCCTCCTTGTATAATTACAAGGGTAAGGTCTGCGTACAACTGACCCCCCAGACCCCAACCTGTTGGGAATATACTGGGTATGTTGTTGTTGTTGTTGTTGTTGTTGTAGTTTTGATTGGATTTGTTGGATAACCAGAGTTAATTTTGAAAAAGTTGATTGAGTTAGGTTTGAGTGGGATTTTAAGTTTGTATCAAAATAATATTTAAAATATAATGATGAAAGTTGATTTGATGTAAAAGTATGAGAGGGGCGACTGAAAGTGATGGGTAGTTAAAACTATGATTGATTGGTATTATTTAAAAATATTGATAATATTGAGAGAGGGTTGGGTTGAGTTAATTTTGAGGTAGATTTTGAGTTAAAAAAAATATTGGTCAAAAGTGACCAGATAATATGTATCCAAGCAGGGCCTAAAAGTTCTCAAAATGGGTTTGTGCATAGACTCTATTCAAAATATAAGCCATGAAAAATATTAAATGATATGAATGATGAGTACAGCTTGGTCCTGCTAATTTGAGTCCTATGAGGCCTTGGTTGATGATTACGACGTAAGATGTCTTTCGTCTGCGAGATGCTGTAGCTAACAGAGTTATCCCTAATATTTGCAATTTCTGTTTTCATTGGAGAGTTATCCCTAAGAATGCACTTTTTGACTATTCTAAATCAAATTATGATTTGAAATGACTCCTCACAATTCACAGGGATATTGCGATTTCCTTCCCGAGGAAAAATTACTTGAAGCAGTAGAAGTTGGTCAGGTATTTACTTATCTTAAATGCCAAATCTTCTAGCTTCTCCTCCTATTGATATGATTTTATTACGATAAAAAAAAAAAAAAAAAACTTGTCAATCTTTCTTACGAATGAAACCAATATGTATAATAATTTATCATTGCTCCTCAACTGGGGTCTAGGAATTTTAGAATCTCTGTCTCCCCAGGCTTAATTTTCTCTGGTTGATTTTTAAAGGACACAAGCGGGTATAGATAATGCAACCATAAAAATTTTATCATGCATGAAAGTGTTTCTTTTTTTTTTCTTTTTTTAATTTCTGAACTCACTTATGCTGGGCATGCTAATTCGTGACAATTAAGAAAAATGTAAAAAAAAAATGCTTGATAAATATTGGTCACCGTTCTAAATAGCTTGTTGAAAAGAGAATCCATTTCATTCTCCATAAACGTTTTGAGTGCCACATTGGTCTTGCTATGTTGGTTGAATGCCTGAATTAGTTTTAAGCTTAACAATTTCAGTGTAACTGTTTTTTTCAAAAAAAAAAATAAAAATTTCATATACTTATTAGCGGTATTGAGTTTGTGAAAATGACCATTACTTTGGTTTAGAATGCTGTGACAGCTATATGCAAAGAGGTGGAATCCTTGGTGAAAATGTGTGGAAAACCAAAAATGGTCGACGCGATTAAATTGCCCCCTCCGGAGCTGTATAAGCATGTTGAGGTATGTTGTACTGATCTCGTGTGAAATAAACATCCTCAAATGATTTTATTCAATCATTCTTTTTTCTTTCATTGCATTCATGCTTACTTTTCTTTTAAGTGCTCTTGTGTTGTATATTTTCTTTTAATTACTGTAGTACTTAAACCTTTGCCTTGACCCTAAATTATCAGGGATCCTTTCTCTTAGGGATGATTTTCTTTATGCTAAATTAGNTTCTATTTTCTGCTCCCGTCATTTAACATGCACGTGCATATTCAAAAAAAAAGTTTCAGGAAACAATTTTTAAGTGCGATCAATTAGATATATGTAGTTGTATGACGGTGCACTTGGATATGTTTTTGTTGGAAAATTTTATTTCACTGGAGACAAGACGTTTTGGGAAGAAAATGATAAATTTGAGAAGTGTGCTTGATGATAAGATGGAAATATAATCATTAAGATTGATGGATGTAAAAAACAAAAAAATAATGAGTGGTAATTAGAAATATGTGAGTGGATGAATAATCAAATTTATAGTAAATTCTATAATAAAGATTGATTTCTATTTTAAAAATTGTATTATTAAAATTGAGCTGGGAAAACTTGAGATGAGCGAATAGTGCACTTATTAAGAAAATTTTATCTGGTTGGATGAAAGTCCCCTTTAATTCATATCCAACTGCAGGTTTGCAGCCTGAACATTTTGATCTCTTATCTATATTTTTTGAGTGCTGGAGGCATTTTTATTGGTGCAACCAATGCCCAAAATTAGTCAGTATAAATTTTCGTTGGAAATGTAATAATATAATACCTGTTCAAAACTTTTGGATTCATTTCATGTAAGCCCTCTCTTAAGTCATGACGGTGATTTTTTATAATATTCAGGAAATTGCAGGTGATGAATTAGTTGAAGCTCTACAAATTAAGAACAAAATCCCAAGAAGAAAGGCATTATCAGCTTTGGAAGCGAAAGTCTTGAACATACTTACAGAGGAGGGCTTTGTTAGCAGGAATGAAGCTGCTGTTTCTACCGAAACTCTACCGGACTTGATTGAGGATGAAGATGATGAGGAGATTGTAGTTGATGGTGAAATTGATGAAGGTGATTTTCACATCAAGCCAGTCCCGAAGAAGGTCGCTCCGTTGGTAATTTCGGCCTTCAAAAACGGTTTCTGCTTGTATATTAATGTGTGGTGAAGGTTTTAATGCCGGCTGAATAATGTGTGCTTTTATTCCAATAAATTATAGATTAATTGAACTGCTATGTGGACCTAATCTGAATATGGTGCCTCGACCTAGACTTTGTTAGCTATCTTGAATAAATATTTGCATCCTGTAGAAATCTAACGACACTGCAGAGATATCAAATGTATCGAATAATATATGTATTACTTAAAACTTGTTAACAACCACCGTTTTTATTGGAATAAAGGAGTGATAGCTGAGTTGTGGAAAAGGTCTTTTTCTTATGTGCCTTTCTTTCGAGCCTAAATAAATGCTTAAAAGTCATCATTTGGTGGGATTTTTCAGCTCTTTGTTTGTCTATGGCACACATGATATTGTCTATGAAAATGGCTTGCAAGTGTAAATCTAGGATACTTGCTCTACTATTGCTATGGATGCAAACATTGGATTTTTAGGTCTACTCTGTTTGCATTTCGTGCTTCTTGACATTCAACTGTTATAGGTTATGCTACAGGGTTAAATTAACTTTTTGACATATTCCTTTCTTGTAGCTGTTCTCGGAGGTTGATGTGAAGCTTGTTTTTAAGGAAGTTTCATCCAAATTCCTACGGAGACGTATTGTGGAGGTATTATTTAAAATGAACATCTGACATAGTAATTCCTCTGCCTCAACATGCAGTTTTTTTATATAGTTTGGCAATTTCGTTGACCCGACTAATTGGTAGTTTTTTCTTCTAAGCTGATGAGCCTTCGCTTGGTGGATACTAGATAATGAAGTCCGTATTAATCAAATCAATGAAAAGCGTAACCAGTGTTCAGCTGTTGTTTGCTGTTTATTGTGTTGATAGAATTCACAATTTTTTGTATTCTAATTTGAGCACTATTTACATATGGTGAATGTTATAGTAAACCAGGGGTCTACATTTTTTTAATTATTTTTTTCTAACACTCGAATGATGCATGGGTATTTACTGCAAAATATTGTATCTTGTTTACTCAGGGAGGAAAAAGAAGTGACGGCAGAACACCCGAGGAATTACGCTCTATTAACTCACGTTGTGGTTTACTTCCTCGAGCTCATGGAAGTGCTCTTTTTACACGTGGTGAAACTCAGGTCTGGTTATTTTGTAATGGGTACTTAAAAGTAGCTGTCTGCTCTGCTTTGCCTTTTTTATTCTATTCCTTTTTCAGATGTTTTGTTATTACATCTGTTTTTTCGCCCTAATTGTATTTACTGCTCTAGGAATCTACTTTTATGATGCATGATAGCTCCTTCCACTTATTCTCTTAGCTCATATGTTCCTGTGCTATCTGGCCCCTTACCATAGCCTATGAGATTAGTATCTATAAAATCATGTGAGTCTGTACGCAAGCCTTCTAATAGTTGGTTCCAGAAGCATGACATTCCTCTTATGCTTGTATTTATCTTTTGATTTTCTTCTCTCATTTTGCAGTCATTAGCTGTGGTTACACTTGGTGATAATCAAATGGCACAAAGACTGGACAATCTTGTCGATGAAGATGAGTTCAAAAGATTCTATCTTCAGGTGGGTGACATTGATGAAAAGTTCATCTTTCTAATGGAGATTTTCAACGTCTGGGTTGATTGTATGTTACTTGCCTTGAACCCATTATCAGCCTCAAATGACTTTAACCTGTCGTGTGCTCTCAAGAACTTAGTTTTGTTTCCTGAAGGAGTTATGCAGACATTTCACTAGTTTGTATTGCCTTCATTTTACACTTTCTACCTAATCTAAATATCTAATGAATTTAGTAGAAGAAGCTTTGTACATAACTAGGTCCTAGTTGGCAAATGTAGAAGGAATTTACTCTTTCTTCCTTATGATAAAGGCAATCTTGTGGTCTGTAGAGATTGTGTTACTCCCAGGTAAAGGGAAATCATTTAACAATATTCATGGTCCCCACATATTTTGCGTTCGATACCAATAATCATGCAAGTGCAGTGATATATTAATGGTATTTTGTACTAGGACTTTGCGCTTTGCTGTTCAGCTATCATTACCTGGAGCACTCGTCTTAGTTAATTCAGTCCATCACTGATATGAAAGTTAGCATACTGCATTGTCATCTCACTTGTTACTCAATGTCTATAATTTAGCTTACTAGAAAAAGTTAAATTTTTCGTTTCAGGTATTATAGTGAAATCTGTCTTTTGTTTTGTTTGTTTGCGTAGTATTCTTTTCCTCCGTCTTGTGTTGGAGAAGTTGGACGTGCAGGAGCTCCATCAAGAAGAGAAATTGGCCATGGAATGCTTGCAGAGAGAGCCCTGGAGCCAATATTGCCTTCTGACGGTGACTTCCCTTATACTATACGAGTTGAGAGTACCATCACTGAAAGCAATGGCTCATCTAGGTATAATATAATTATTAATCACTTTTATAAAGTTGTTTTTGATTAGTTTGTAAATGTGTTTCTTTTATGCCCTCTTTGAAAAAAAAAAAAATCCATGGATTCATCCGAGTTAGTAGCTGTTTCCCCTCTCCCAGCTATCACCTTGTTTCTCCTAATGCATCTGGATACGTAGAAAATCTGATCCTCAAAATCTGTCGTTAGCTGTTAATCAATGAACTGTTTTACATGGAAAACAGATGCTTTATAAAAAGTGAGATGATAATGGATGTGAGTGAAACTTATTGCCTGGCTTTTTCTGGCTTTCTTTTCCCCTCTGAAATGCTCTTTACTCTAATCGAATCTAGTCTTGCATCTTTCTTTTTTATTCCTGCATTTATCAAGTGTGAGATGTGTGTTATGAATTGAGATTGCCTATTACTTGCTTTTTTTCACAGCATGGCTTCCGTTTGCGGAGGTTGCTTGGCATTACAAGACGCTGGTGTCCCTGTGAAGAGTTCGATAGCTGGTATAGCCATGGGCATGGTTTTGGACACTAAGGAATTTGGTGGCGATGGGACTCCACTTATCCTCTCCGATATAACAGGGGGTGAAGATGCTTCGGGAGATATGGATTTCAAGGTCAGGGAAATCTCTATGTTGACCCAAATTTTAGTTTTTAGTTCTTTTCTTCCCTCTCTTTCCAAATTTTCTAGGTTTGCTTTCAGGTTTTTTGTTTTACTTTTTTTCCTCGGGGTTCAATGTTATAAGGATATTTTTTTAGAGTTTTCCACCAGCATTTAGAGTGTTTTTTAGTTTCCACGGTCATGTTGCAGTTTTAAGGGCATTTTTTTTCCTATTTTGTCATTTCTGTAGTTTTGGGATGTTTTTGAATTTTATTTTTAATTTTTAGATTTAACTTTAGGGGACTGTTTGATGTCTGACTGTGTTGCAGGAATATGCCTCGTGGTTTTATTACTCGTTCTTTTTAGCTTGTGGTTTAACTAGAAAGATAGTTTAAATGCTTTCCTCCATAATGAAGAAGACAATATTCACTATTCAGAACTATCCAACTCGTGCACCGGTTGGAACAATTTTAGGACAATGCTACTAAATGCTACAAATTCTTTCTTTTTTGTGCTACAGGTTGCTGGAAACAATGATGGTGTAACTGCATTTCAGATGGACATAAAGGTTGTTCATCACAATTTTCTTAGTGATATTTTCTTTATTTAATTCTACTTGAACATGATTGATTGTCTTGGATGTTATTGGCTCCTGCAATTATTTATCTTGGTTGTGATTGGTTCTGCAATTATTTATATTTTAATGATCAGTAATGCGATAATGTGTGATGGCAGGTTGTAGGAATTACTCTACCAGTCATGCGACAAGCTCTCCTGCAAGCAAGAGAGGGTCGAAAGCATATTCTTGGTAAATCATTTTTACCTTGACTTGGTAAATAATTTTTAACTTCTGGTTGCCTGAAGCTTCATAAGTGTGCTTTGTTGTGTATTTTTTCATACATCATAATATTTTTTTTTTATTTTTTTATTTTTTTATTTTTTTTTTTGGTGCTGTGTTGTTGCTCTTTTTCAGCTGAGATGGAAAAATGCTACCCTCCTCCTTCCAAGCGACTCTCAAAATACGCTCCAATTATTCATGTTATGAAGGTATTATTTCAGTTGTGGACAATTTTTGTATTTGATGGTACGGACTGTTGGGTGACGCTTTTATTAACTATCACTTCTCTTAAATATTGCAGGTGAAAGCCGATAAAGTTAACCTGATCATAGGTTCTGGGGGAAAGAAAGTGAAGAGCATAATTGAAGAAACTGGGGTTGAATCTATCGAAACACAAGATGATGGCATTGTAAGCGAACAAAGATAACCTTTAATATTATACTCCCACTGCCCAGACGTTATCCGTTAAAATATTAATTTATCTTAAATGATAAGATGTGGCATGATGAATATTGCAGGTTAAAATTACAGCTAAAGATCTGTCTAGCTTGGAGAAATCCAAAGCTATCATCAGCAACCTGACAATGGTTCCATCTATTGGCGATATTTACAGGTATTAATAAACACAATGCTGAACGAGGTTGCAAGCTGAATTTAATTTTTTTTTTTTGGCAATTTAGCTTCTATACTCTCCATTTGATAGAAATGTCAAGTACATTAAACCACCAAATTCTAGTAATCCAATATAATTTTGGTTTTTCTCTACCAGGAACCGCGAGATCAAATCAGTTGCCCCATATGGTGTTTTTGTTGAAATTTCACCTGGCCGTGAGGTAAGCATAAAACCACAATTGCATTTGAGCTTCTTGCACCATAATAATATAAGTCTATATATTCTCTCTCCCATATTACTTTAGGACTAGTTGCATGATATCTTTGCTATATATGATGGAGATAGGAAGTTTACTTATTAACTCTTCCATTTATATGCTTCAGGGACTATGCCATATTAGTGAATTGAGTGCGAATTGGCTGGCTAAGCCTGAAGATGTACGTAGTATGTGATTTTATGTACTTTACCATATTCAAAGTGGTTGTGAAGTAGTAACAGTCTTCATTAAAACAATTACACAGGTTTTCAAGGTTGGAGACCGTGTCGATGTCAAACTTATTGAGGTTCGGACCATTCCCTCTTTGAATTAACAATTTAAATAAATAAATATCATACGAAAAAATCCTCGTATAATCATGTGCTCAAGAAAGTGGAAAAAACACATGTTTAATTTGTTCGAAATGTGTTTAACATGCAAATATATTTATTGTGGTTCATCTCCTTAATAGATATCTACCAATATTATCAAGTGCTCCACAAATTATTTACTAGTTATGTGTTTTAACAAATTTTCGATTTGTGGCAGATTAATGAGAAAGGACAACTTCGGCTGAGCCGTCGTGCCTTACTTCCCGAGTCTAACCAAGAGAAGTCGAGCACAAAGCCACGTAGTGCTACTGCTAGCCCCACTAAAGAAAGTACAGATAACCAGAAAGCCAATAAGAAGAGTAAGCTGAAAAAAATGTCATCTGATCCAAAGAATGAGTTTGAGGCTGAGGCCAATAGTGCTGAGGCTGAAGTCTTGGCTCCAGCAGAAACCGAGCCTGGGGAAGCCAATACATTAGTTGGGAAGAAGTTTGTCAAAAAACTTGTAAGCTCGGAAAAGGAATCTTCCGAGACTGACAAAATCAAGCCCATGAAAAATAGATCCAGGAATAATGAAAACGCTGTTGTAAATGGAGAGGCCAAAGTCGGATAGCAAATACCCCTCGTGATGTCTAATATTGGCAGATGGACACCTACGGTATGAGCTCTGAAGTTTTGTTGTTTTATTTACGTTTTAATTTAGTACTGTTAAATTAAACGAGCCTGGATCTAAATTTTCTGGATGGCAGCAGTGATGTTCTTGATCGAGTGGATTAATTTGGAATCTTTCATCACAAGAACGGGAAATTCCTCCGGCCAAAGGTAATAACTAAACTGCCTTAATCGTGCAGCACATGAAGAAAAACTTACGTTGTGTTAATTGAGTTCCACACGTGGAAGAGACTTTTTTACGAACGGAACAGATGGCCCGAGTAGATTTGCTTCTCCATTAATATTCCATTTTCGAAGCAGCTGCGTAATTGCTTTGATTAGATATTATCGACCCATGTTATCTTTATGCAATGGCTATAGGCAAATCTGGCAGCAAAGTTTATCTGTGGTCTTGTCAGCAAGAAAAACGTTTTTGGAGAAGTCAGTTTATTATTAGATCGTTTGAATGATGGAGTTATTTTCTTCTGGAGCAATGCTTTGAACTTTTTTGCCTAATTTTGCTTTTATTGAATTTTTACCTTGGTCCTGTATGTTTTAGACATTCCATTTCTTGTGCTTGAAGTCATCTGGAGGTGCGGTTACTGCAAGGAAATGATTAAGGGCTTTGTGGATGAGATGTGTTTTTACTGTTATGATTGTGATTTTTGGATGCATTTCTTTGGTGCAAAGGATTGTTTTAGTGAAGATGGAGTTAGAATGAAGCATTGGGTCTTGCATGATGATTTTGGTGGAGTTTTATTTTATCAAAATGTATATATATTTGACAATCACAATATGCTTAGTTTCTATGTCACTAGTGGTTCTCACTTAGAGCTGTTAAACGAAGTCAACGGTCGAGTTAGAGCTCAACTCGTTCAAGTAAGTGAACGAATTGAGCTCGAGCAGCTAACCGAGCTCATTTTGATGAACGATCCAAGTTAAATTTGTTGGCGAACAAGTCGTTTTAAATGAATTAGTCGAGAGAAACTTGTTCGTGAACGAACATTCCATGTTAGCGAACAACTTGTTTTAAGGTTTTTAGTTATTATTTTGAGTTCAACTGAGTTTTGACGAGCTTAAACAAGCCAAGTCGAGTCTGACTCATTTATTAAACAAGCACGAGCTTGAACATGAGTTGTTCGGCTCGACTTGAATAACAACTCTATTCTCACTCAAAAGTCAAACCTACTCAATGGANAAAACAAATCGGATCAGTTATGTTCAACATTAGTTTGAATCATAAGAGCTAATCACGAGTTTGTTAACCAACTCAAATGTGATGGCTATTAGTTTAAATTAATGGCAAAATTTCAGTTTTGATACGTATTACTTTAAAGAAACATCAAACTTATTACAATAACTTGTCAAAAATATAAAAAAATACAATAATACTAAAAGTCAAAAAGAACAAAAACTCAAAAATATGTGAATATGAACACACTAAATGCACCTAAATATGTCCACCACACCACACGCCACGGGCACCACATTTCTTGTGTTTTCTCAACAAACAACACCATTAGCAACACCTATATATTTCTTTATAATATATAGTACTTATTACAATATCTATCCAATAATTTATTTTATTTATTAATTTCCACAAAAAAAATACCACAATTTTCTTTCCAAAGGCAATTCTTCTATAATAACCCACAAATTAAAGACTTCACCACAACCCTCCCTTTGCACATGCACATGCATGCAATTTCAGTAGCACCGAACAAGCGTAGAAGACAAAAATTACTTCTAACGAAAGAGGATAGTATTATAAAAATTGAATATAAAATTCCAATTATCCTCAATATAAAGGCGTATATAAAGGCCATAAACCATAATAAAATATGAAACACATAAAATAACAAATTAGAAAATACTGAAAATAATAAAAAAAGGCCCAAAATTAACCATATTTAGTCCTGCGCAATGAGTTCAACAAAAATCATCATATTTGCATCGATGAAAACCCTTCGAACGATGCTCAACAGCTCAAAACTTGTCCTTCCAGTAACACATTGAAAGTGTGAGAGAAACATGAAATATGCTCAATTATTCATGTAAAATTTAGTTTTCATATATATAAATATATACATACACCACATTACATGAAAAAAAAATATATATATCTATAGTTTGTTTGCTAAATGCTAAGTCATGCCAAAACCCTTCACAAGAGTTACGTGCACCCATGCCCTCTCATCTACTATTAATTATTTAATTAAACACAATCCTCACAATTCCTCATGCTTATTGTTTTACCTTCCTTTTCAAACTAAAATTTTGGCTTTGATTAACTCAATATAATTACACTACACTCAACACAAGCCTTTTACCACANCAAAAAAAAAAAAAAAAAAGAAAAGTCTCTTGGGCCATCCCAATGGATGCCCGCACGAACCGAAGTGGGCCCACCAAGCTGCCTGGCCCGGACACGCCGGCCGTTGGGGCCCACGCGCCTTGCGGGGCGTGCAAGTTCCTGAGGAGGAAGTGTATAGCGGGCTGCATATTTGCCCCACACTTCGGGCCGGAACAAGGCCCGGCCCGGTTTGCAGCGGTGCACAAGGTGTTTGGGGCCAGCAACGTGTCCAAGCTTCTCTCACGAATCCCAATGGGCCGCCGCCATGATGCGGTGGTCACCATCTCTTATGAGGCCCAGGCCCGACTGTCTGACCCGGTCCACGGGTGTGTGTCAACCATTATGGGCCTGCAGCAACAGGTTGTTTATTGAGTTTAATTCTTGTCAAATTCTTTCTTTTTTTTTTTTTCCTTCACTTTAATCACTCGTTAATTTGATTGTCATGCACGAGGAGAAAAATAATGAAAAATCACAACCACTTGTTGATTACTAATTTACTACTCAGTAACGTTATGTGTTTTCTAGAATTTAATCAGATTGTAATAATATATTTAAGTTATTGATCCAAACTTTCAATAAAATAATATGAAATATTTCCGGAGAATGCTACCATCCCGTAACAAATAATATGAATTAGGGTAAAAATTGGCTGCAACAAGTACTATGCTTGTTTTTTCTTTTATTTTACAACTTATGGCATTTTTTTTTAACTTTACAACTTAATATGAAAATTGAAACCTCACAAGGTCAAGATGTACGATAGATTACAAATTATGAGTGTTGATGAAATTTAGTTTGCATTTTACTAAGAAAAATAGTTGCAAAAATCGAAAAATATGTATACTACATATTGCAAAAAATGTATACTCTATATATGGGCTCGTTACCTTTTAGATAAATTTATCCATTTATCCGTTACTGTTCAAATAATTATATCCTATGTTTACAAGTTGTGACACAACATTTAAAAAGCGGTTGATTATTTTAACTTGTGTTTCTTTAAAATAATTTTAGCCATTTGACCAATAACAAGAAGTAACCAAGCCCATATGAATTATTTCATTTATATTTATTCATTTTAGGTGGCATCACTTCAAGCAGAGCTATCAATGGTGCAAACTCAGCTTATGAACAGCCGAATTTTGATGGCAAATGCACTTCACAGCCAGCCGCCGCCTCACCACCACCACCACGACATGGCGGCGGCAGGGCTGCAGCCAGCGTATTCCGGCACATCATCAGCTTCCAACAATAATCACTTTAGCATGCATAGTTTCGGGCCAAATAGCCTTAGCGAAACCGCATTTTCCAATAGTTTTGAGCCCAATATCCCTCATCTTTCGGACCGGGCCTTGCACAACGAGGAGGAGGAGGAAGAGGACGAAAGCCACGACCCAGTTGCCTTGGCTAACCGCATTTTTCACTAGTGAATATATATATAGCTTTCGTTACAAAATATCATCGGTGTTGATTCATATACATTTTCGAATGACTTAGATTTATATATCTACTTGATATTTTTTAACATTGTAATAATCATAGAGGTCTTAAAGTGTGTGTATTGATCATCCATGAAAGGCAAAATGTGTCACGATATATAGTTAATAATTAAGACAGTATTATTAGCATAATTAAAAAATAACGTGCATGTAAAATTGTTGATTGCCGAGGATTAGGACTACTAAGAATCGAGCTGAGTCGAGCATTAGCCTTATCGAACCAGCCTGCTCAAGGATCACGGGGCATAGATGATTTGGCTTCGAGTCAATAATTTTTTTTTTTTTTCTTTTATCTTTATAAGGGAGTCATAATGTGTAGGTGTATTCAAGACTTGGTTTGGGTAGACTCGACAAAAATATACAGATGTTCAAGATAGGCTCGAGATCGACTCGAATTTTAGAGATAAAAAATTCGATTAAGAAACGTTTTTTTCTTGGGTTTTGCTTGAATTTAGCTCGACTTATGAGTATTCAAGTAAATTACACTTATACTACTCAAGCTTATATCATATTGGTTCTATTCGTGGTCGGTCAAATTTGTGTTCGAGCCGAGTTTTGGTTCGAACGCTCGCTATTCGCTTGATTAGTAGCCCTAATGTTGATGAGAGGAGATATTGTGTGCTTGTTTATGAATATAAAATCCGGTTCAGACCAACCCGACCCAACCCGCTGGAGTAAAGAGAAAAATCGATTGGACTAGCACGCCACAAAACGTTTTGGGCAGTTCATTACTACAAAGATACCAAGGTCCAGTGGGCTAAATAGACCTATCCCGGTTAGGTATGTTGGCCCAATGAGAAAAAGTGTTACTTAAGTGTAGCGCGACTTTAGTTGATGACACCTTAACCTACGCCTTTCCCGCCATTTTTCCTCTCAAGGTCACTGTGAGAAAGAAGAAGAAGAAGAAGAAGAAGAAAAAGAAGAAGAAGAAGAAGAGGAGGAGGAGGAGATGTTGTGGGTGGATAAGTATCGTCCCAAAACCCTAGACAAGGTTTTGGTGCACCAAGATATCGCCCAAAATCTAAAGAAACTGGTAATTGAGCTGCAAAATGGAATCAAATACTTCTTTCTATGGTTTGAGCTGAAGGGATTTGAAATATGTTCGGTTTTTGTTCTTTGATTTTGTTTTGGCGTTGCGTTGTGTAGGTGACGGAACAAGATTGTCCGCATTTGCTGTTCTACGGCCCGTCTGGCTCGGGTAAGAAAACCCTAATAATGGCCCTTCTCAGGCAAATTTTTGGTGCCAGCGCCGATAAGGTGAGAGATTGCTAGCTAGCTTCCGAGTTCAGTTTTATTCATTTTTTTGCTCAAGGTTTTGTTTGGTAGTTTTTCGGGGGTGGGCAAACTTCCAGTGAATTGTGCAAGTAAGGTGTTGCAGCTGAATCATTTGTTTACAGCTTGTCATCCTCTGTGATTTTGTCTGCAAAGCAAACACATAAAAATATGATCTTTATAACTAATTTTATAAGTTGTTCAAGGGAAATTCACATTTTATTTGATGTATTTAGCTCCGGAATCGACTACTGCTTTGTATAGTTATCTGTTGAATCTAAAACGAAAAGGGAAGAGTGAAGTAAAGAAAAAGAACAAAATTATGAATAAGAAATGTGAATTGATCCTCAATTTCATTGATGACAAGTGGAGAAAGGTAAATTTGGATAAGTTGCTCACTATTCAGTTTGAATTGAGGTTGTTCTGATGTGGCTCTGTAAATATTACTTTGCAGGTGAAAGTGGAAAACAAGAACTGGAAAGTTGATGTGAGTTCTCTGCTATGTTAGAACCACAAGTTTGCTGTGTTGTTCGATCGTTTGAAGTTTCTAATTTGAGTGCAAACTTAAATCTTTTGTTTACCAGGCTGGGAGTAGAACCATTGATGTTGAACTCACGACTTTGTCAAGCACGCACCATGTTGAACTGAGCCCTAGTGATGCAGGATTTCAGGACCGTTATGTGGTTCAAGAGATAATCAAGGAAATGGCCAAAAACCGACCAATTGACACTAAGGGAAAGAAAGGATTCAAAGGTACCTGTAGCTTTTCATCTCATCATATTTTTGATAATTCCCAGCAGTTTCATTTGTGCTCTCTATTTTTCGGAGGCTAAAGATAAAATTTTATTGATTCTAATATTGTATCAACTCTGAAGATCCTTGTATGCTATTTTTACACTTTTAAGTTCTTATTTTTTCTTTTATTTTTAAGAACACCTGTTATTCTTATCTATGAGTAGTTATAATAATGATATAAGAGGATTAGGACGAAGCCTTCTTACTGAAATGATGGCATTATTGAGTTGTGATTTATCTGTGGTGATGACATGGCATGTTGAAATCAGTTCTGGTGCTGAATGAGGTTGACAAACTCTCGAGGGAAGCCCAGCACTCTCTCCGAAGGACAATGGAGAAATACAGTTCATCTTGCCGACTCATTCTATGCTGCAACAGCTCCTCCAAGGTTACTGAAGCCATTCGCTCTCGTTGTCTGAATATGAGAATCAATGCACCACCAGAAGGAGAGGTCAGTGTATTTTCATATATATGTTTTCAATATAATATTTATTTGTTTTCAGAAAACGAATATGTGTGCATCTTTTATTTATGACATCACATGCTAGATCTGAGTTTCGATTTCGTCATCTCATGTCTATCTTGGGTACCTATTCAGCTATTCTAGGTTCCTTACTGAAAACTTTAATGATATAAAGATCATAATCTAGAACTTAACTCATGTTTCTATAATATATTTGATCTGGATGCCAGCGGCAATTTCCCAAATTTTAAATGATTGCATTTTCCTATAAATGTTCTTTTATACGTATTCTCCTTTCTAAGTTATATAGTTGGGAAGTGCTGGACTAACACATTCTTTGGCAAACACCATGATATAATATGGTTCTTTGTCTGTGCTGATGAATTATTTTCAAATGTCAGATTGTGAAGGTGTTGGAATTTATCAGCAAGAAAGAAGGGTTACAACTTCCATCCGGATTTGCTGATCGAATTGCACAACAATCTAACAGGAGCCTCAGGAGGGCAATTTTGTCGCTTGAAACTTGTTGTGTCCAACAGTTGGGTTTTGTTATTTTCTTGATATTTTTAGAAGCTAACAACATTTTTCTTTCCACTTCATGCATTTATTTTGCTTTTAACATGGTTATGTCCTGATGCTGTTCTATTTCGATTTAGGTACCCTTTCACAACCACTCAAGCAATACCCCCAATGGATTGGGAGGCATATATTTCTGAAATAGCATCAAGTATTTTTAAGGAGCAGAGTCCGAAAAGGTTTTTTTTTTTTTTTTTTTGTTTTTTTTTCATTTCAGAGTCCGAAAATGTTTGATATTAATTTCTTTCACAATCCGGGTGCAATGTGTAGTACTTTCTACTGTCCTATTGTACCCTCAAGATGCAGTTTATTATAAATGATGTTGTACAACTGTCATTAAAAAATATTGTTTGAGAAAAATGAAAATCTTACATTGTTTTTCTAGGTTATTTGAGGTTCGGGGAAAGCTTTATGAGCTACTCGTCAATTGCATTCCTCCAGAAATCATTTTAAAGGTTCACATCTGTACTTATTCTAATTTACTCACTCAAGTCAATGAAATATATGGCTACTACTATTGAGTTCCGAGAACAAATACATTTTTTTTTTGTTTAAAAATATTCATTGCAGAGGCTACTTTATGAGCTGTTGAAGAAATTGGATTCTGAGCTCAAGCATGAAATCTCTCATTGGGCCGCATATTATGTATGTTTCTGATTGTTCTCGTGCGTAGTTGGAATATTATAATACGATGATAGCTATAATGTCTAGGGTATTTGGGTTGCCCATTTTGCCTCTGGCTTTCACTTGGTAACATATACTTCGTTTATTTTTTTTTTGCTTTTTGATTTTGAATCCATCACTATTGCTCAAATGCATGAGGCAGAAGAGCCACACCATCTTATGCTTCATATCTATTGACTAAATTCCCCATGAAGTTATTTTTTCTTTTTTTCCCCTCAAATTGCTTGTTCGAACGATAAACTAGTTTAACTTTAATAGGTGTGTTTCTTTAGCAGAGGCTTGTGATTCTCCATACTTGTTTAAAAAGCAAAATGCTCGTTTCTCTGGATTTAATCATAACTTTAATTTTTGTTTTCCTCAGGAGCATAGATTACGCCTTGGGCAGAAAGCAATATTTCACCTTGAAGGTATATCACATTTTCTTATCCGCGACATCACATAATTTTACGCGATTTTTGTGTTAATCCTCAGAGACATGAATAACAATTTCATCACCTCAGAGAATTTTACAGCTTCCTATGTACATTTAGCAAATTTTATTGCTTCATATTGTTGTTGGATAATAATTAATAATATAGACCACACTAGCACAATATTGTTCCATATTAAACTCGATGCAAATATTGCAGCGTTCGTGGCCAAATTCATGAGTGTTTACAAAGGTTTCCTCATCGAGACATTCGGGTGAATTATCAGAGGGATGATGATTTCCTTCATCTTCGTTACGATTCTGAATTTGTTACTTTTGATATTCTGTCGAACTTGTTACTTTTGAATTTGTTGAACTTCTCAATATCAAGGCTTCTAAATTTAGATTTTCGGAAAATGCTGGTGAGTTTTTGCTAATCATTTTTAGAGATGATCTTCCCAAATTAAAATAGGATCAAGGTGAATTAAAATCATTGCCACAACACAAAGTAACAAAATCAAGGTAATATTTGAACAAGTTTTATCTGTAATTTTCCCTCCTTTACAACATTGTAAAAAGAAAAAAAAATAAAAATAATGTACAGTTCCTCTTTCACCTGAAGCTCTAAACTACTTTTCACCAGAAGTTTCTAGGCACGGCTGCCGATCTAAGTCCGATTTCCCCTCGAACACCCGTGTGCAAAAACCGATCGGCCCTATGAACCTTCCTCTTGATCTCCGGAACCTTCCGCAAAACCGATCGCCAGATCATCTGGACTGCATCATCCTCTCTCGATGGGTGTCGATACTCGAAAAACTTCTCGACTTCTTTCAACCTCATCCACATCCTCGTCCACTCCTCCTTCCCGATACTCCTAACGAAATCGATCAAGAAATTCTCCTTTACGGCATCCGAGGCGCGCATGAATACGCAAAACTCGGAATAATCTAGAATGTCCTCGAATGGAAGCTCGATTTCGTCGCTTATGACAACTGGCACACAGTGGCTGGCTATGGCGTCGAATAGACGGTTAGACGAGGGCGTGTCCCCGGCTATATTTAGGCAGAATCTCGAATTTCGCATGCCTTGTGCGGCTAGGTTTATACCGTCTCCTTGGATGCTACCGAACGAGAAATGCACGTCTTTTTCGTCTTTCAACATGTAGAATAACTCTTGCCTGATCAATCCTCCCTGAAAAAGGAAGGGAAAAAAAATGAAATGCTTGACAATAGGGCTGCAAACGAGTCGAGCCAAGTCGAGCATTGGCTTTATCGAGCAAGATTAATTTTTGTTTTCTTACCTGCTCGAGCTCGTCGAGCTCGAATCACAACGTTCGAGATCGACTCGATAAAAGAAGACAATCGCTCGAGCACAACTCGAGATCGATTGAAATCAAAATGCTCGAAAGATTGCTCGAGCTCGGCTCGAGTTCGACTCAAATTTCAAGTAAAATTAATATTAAGTACATATATAAAATACTGTAATATTTATATATAAGGGATAACTAATCCACTACATATCTCGAGCCACTCGAGATCCACTCGATAACATGCTTGAGCCACTTGAGCTCGTTTCCAGTTCAGTCAAACTCGAGCTCGAGCAGAGCTTTGACTCGAGTGCTCACGAGCTGCTGCTCGGTTCGTTTGCAGCTCTATTCGACAAGTACCGAAAAAAAGAAAAAGCTCGACTTACGTCTTTCCTATAGATAGCCCCCTGAAAATAAAGCAAAGTCGGCCGTCCATCGTAGCCCGAACTATCATCCGAGTAACTTGGGATTAAATGCATGTAAGGCGCAATCAAATCCTTGTCGACATTCGCAACGCTCTTCGGGTACCTTCCGAAATCCGCGAGAACAAAAATCGCGGGCCATAATTTCATCCTTGCGTACAAGAGGCTGTTCGGGTGGTGGGCCACGATCACATGGTCTTTTCCCCCGGACCTCTTCCACTCCTTCCGAGACGTCAAGAACTCGACGAGCTTTTCCTGCAATAAATCGTTCGGGCTTTTTTGGTCGGGCTTCAACTTCTTGGAATAACGATTGTAGCTTATGGATGCGAAAAACGGGACGAATATGACGTCAGCTTCAGCCGAGTTTTGTACTCTGACAGCTGTACGTCCGGTCAGATTGTTTGAAAATTCCGAGCTCAGGAGATCAAGAGTAAGCCAGTATTCTATGCTGTGTTGCAGATTTAACCCGCCTGGGTATTCAGGCACTTGGGCCCGGATATCGGGCCACACGGTAAGGCCCGAGCCACGCCAGCCCATTAGCCCGAAATGGAATTGGAAGGGCAAGTTGTGCATGAAGACCTTGAGTATTTGATCGTTTTTCGTGCATTTTTTCTCAAGATTCGATTTTTCGGGTGATGTAAGAAGGTTTGGGTTCGGGAGTATGTTGATATCGAGAGTCGATGGCTTGACGGTCGATCTTAAGACTAATAATCTGGTTGATATCAATAGTGCAAATGTTACAAGGAACAAACAGAACAGGTGTTTGTGAGAAAGAAGGCCCATTTTTTTTGAATTCTAGCAGATTTTTGTCTCAAGAATGTATGTTTGTTAGAATTGTGATTAAGGTTAGAATCAAAAGCTTCATAAATTTGGTTTTTGAGATTGATCTCATTGAGAAACGAAGAAAATACATGAAATGCATTCAAATATTAAACAGAGAAGAGAATCTGTTTGGATCAACAGAAGACACAAATGAATGTTTGTCAAGGGGAAAAAAACAAATGAAAATATTGAAATATTTGAAAAAGTTAATGTTCCTTTTGGGTTGATACTATGAAAACAAGATCAAAAAATCCAAGATGGATTTTTTTTTTTTTTTTAATATNACAAGAAATCAATACTAGAGAAAAGGGTGTTGTTGGCTATTATTGGTATTGATTTCTTTTTTCTTTTATTTTTTTTTTCTTGTTATATATATAGTTTTCCTTTTCTCTATGAATTTCATGTTCATATATGATTTTTTTTACTATTTTTCTAATGTCTTTTGTGCAGCGTGAGTGTAGGAGGGCATCTGAAGAAGCGGGTCTTGTGACATCTCTAGTCCTGTAATATTTCAATGTATGTTTAATATGTTTAATGATATTATGAATTCAACATGTCAATAATTTTTTAGTGTTTTATTTACTTCTTTATGCAAAATTTTTAATGTAAAATGTATAAATATATATTTTGTACTTTTTGAGTGAAATACTTGGAACTGTAAGTCTGTAACTAAGCTATTGCTTGCACGGTTGCACCTTTGAAAATTTTGAAGAAACTGTTGATGTGAATTAATATATTTATATCCGTGAATTATAATAAAGTTGATAATCTATTTAAAAAATCACCACAATTTAATAATTGTACTTAATTTAGTACATAGTGAAGAACATAGCTTCCAAGTTCCACCTAGTATTTAATTTATCAAGTGATAATTTCCTTTCCATTGCCAAGTCCTGGTCCTGTACAAGAGACTGTTTCATTTTATCATGCAGAAAAACAGTAAAAAAAAAATCCAAACTACTGCATCAAAATCGATCCTTTTTATTGATAAGATATAATAATGTATGCGATTTCTCAGCTTAGACATATTTGTCGAGGACAATGGAGAGAAAATCCTACACTTTTCAAGAACAGAATAAAAATCAAGTCAAAATTTAGGACAAGTTAGAACTGAAACTGCATTTCAGCAGAATATCCGAGAGCTTCGAGATGACCAGCCATGGCTTTGTTCATTGGGGGTGGACCGCATCTCAGAATCTGCGAAAAAAATATCAGAATTATAAAAACCAAAGAACTCTCTTTAAAGTAATTTTTCATATCATTTGAGAATTTTTAATTTTTTTGCTGAAAAACGAAACCTGAATATCAGAGGCTGGTGCTGGGCAGTGAGCTTGAATCATTTCCTTCGACACAAAACCGACCCCACCATTCCACACTTCAGGAGGCTAATAAAAACGGAAAAAAAAAAAAAGGTAATCAAATTACCGGTGTTCTCTTTCTTTAGTTAATACCCAGAAAGAACTTATATAACGGATTAGAAAACAAGAAATGAAAATAGGGGTCACCAATTTGATTTTGTTTCGTTTTACAAAAAAATGAAAATAGTTTGTTTGGCCATCATCATCACCTTCTAAGCAACCAACCTTTATTGAACAACTTGGCACTATTTATACAAAAAATTAATCTGATAATTAAGCTTTCGTCTACAAGTTCACGTTCATTTTGCAATCTTAGTTACTCGTGATGAATTCACTCAGCTAGCTGAATCACATAAAGATAATAATATGAGTGAAAATGGGAATTGTTCAAAAAAAAAAAAAATAGCATTCTTGCCTGGTTGAGTACATAGTAAACATAGAACCTGCCAGGGTAGTTTTTGGCAAGGCTATCTATTTCATCCTGCAACACAAAACAAAATTGTTCAATATCATATAACTAAAACATCTTTAGGTACCATCAAATTTTAACCAATATTAGTTGTTTTCTGTTTTGCTTACATTTTATTTTATTTTATTTTATTTTGGGTGAGAAATTCGGCAAAAGTCAACCACATCTTATCTTGCAACATACGAACCATCACTCGTGTAACTTCCAAGTGACATTTCTACCAATCAAAAATCCGAGTCCACAAGTCATTAACTTACACTCAAATTTTATCCCATCAGGCCTCGTTTACTTAAAACGATGGGATTGGACAGTTTAATCCCATCAACTTTACACATCAGCTTGTGTCCAATGTTTACAAAACATGATGCATTTTAAGGCAAAAACAATCAAGCGTTTACTAACCTGGATAGGGTAAAAAGCAAAACATGAAGTGGTAGCGAAATATATTTACCTAAATCTGTAATTTAATGGACTTCTAAGGGTAAAAGGGACATTTCACATGCCAATTTTTGGACAAAATGGTCATTTCTAAGGCGGGATTAAAATGTCCCACGCTTAAGACCAAATAATCCTGCCAATCGTGCATAAAGGTGTGGGACCCACAGATCATGGTTAGTAAACGTTGGATAACAACCATATCCTCAGCTTAAGTAAACGAGGCCTCAAAGTTTAGTCCCCACATTTGGGCCTACTTTAAATTCATTTATTCAAAGAATTCGAAAATTTTGCAACCACACAAAGCGTTCATTGGCAAAGTGGATAAAATAAAAGGGCATATATCAAACTACCTTCAGCAGAATGTCTTCATACGTAACATTAGCATAAATCAGATGCACCTTTGTATGGTCATTGGGGTTTTCAAGGATAGCTCTAGCAACCTAAACATAGATGTTGCAAAGCAATCAGTCGTCTTTTGCACCCATTGAAGTATTTTGCTAGTTTTCAAGATTAATAGATATATCAATAATACAACTTTGGAAAATCAAATCGACTTAAATATAATGTGCAATAAATAAAAACCTGGAACATTGGTGTGATTCCAGACCCTCCAGCAAGCATACCAAATGCCCTCTTTTGCCCTGGTTGATACTTAAAACGACCCTAAATATTGAAATATGAGATGAAAATTAGAGCTGGCTTTGAGATGTACACACACAAAACAAAACAAAACTAAAAAACAAAAAAAAAAAGAAAATTTATCTACACCACTTGAGGTAGAAGATGGCCCTCCCAGCTTCACGAATAATTGGTCGATAATGATAATACAGATTGAAAATGTATAACAAAGCAATAAATTGCTCAAAAAAAAAACAAAAATGGATACACAATGTACCTTTGGTCCTTTCACGGACAAATAATCACCTTCACGCATCTCTCTAAAATGATGAGACATTCTTCCTTGGGGATACATCTATCATTGCATACAAAATAAAACACATAAATAAGAACAACAACAACAAAAAAAAATGTAAGGAAGTACTTATCATCCCATTTGCAAGACGGCAAAACACAATAAATGGATGGCATTATACATAATTAAGCTTAAGCACCTTTATTACTAACTCAAAATATCCAATATCAGAATCCAAGGTTGTTGGAGTATATGGCTTAATAACCTCTTCACCTTGACTGTCCCTACCCCTGCAATATAAAATCGATACGCATCAGCTAATATCAAGCATAACTACAACAGCTGTACAAACAATTAAAATTGAAACAATATAACAAGTCAAATAACGCAAGAAAAATGCATATTTCATAGTATAACAATGATTTACAATTAAGTTAACCTGCAGCTTATGTGTTGTCCAATAGGAAGGCCCAAAATGGAGGTAGGCGTAGGAAGGGCAAACTTGAACTTTGCCACATTATGGCTGATTTGTGTTTTTTTTACAAGCTTGAACTCCTTGAACTTCTCAGGATCCAAGCACACTAAGGCTAACACACAACATTATTAATTGTAAGTTTGTAACATTCGAGATCTTTTACATGTACTGCAGCTCAAATGATGAAAAGAAAACTAAAATAAAAATGAATGCCCAATAACGCATTTTTCTTATCCTCAAGAACTTATACTCCAAAGAAAGACCTGTAACAACAAATAAGGTCACATCGAGAAACAAACACCCAAGAAAGCAAAAAAGCTTGGATCTTTACACCTATATGGGATCTCTCTAATGAGAAAAAACACAATTACAGAACACCCTTTAAGCTATATGCAACCTACCAGCAAAACCCACAAAAAATTACTCATCAAAAGACAGAAATAAGGCTTGACAAAGTACAAATTTTGGCATTCGTCTAATTCCATTGCAACAGATCAGCTTCAAAACGAACCTTTGGGCTTCTTCGAAGACAACAAGAAGTATGCGGCAACAATTGCAATAAGACCAACAGCAACACCAACAAACAGCTGGCCTTCAGATGTTGCCAGGAAATCCATAGCCCTCAAATTAATCGAAAGGGCCTAGAATTCAGAGAGAAAAGAGACTAAACTCAAAAAAGAAACAACTTTTAACAGAAAGAGTGGAAATCAATAAAGTAGGTAAGGAAAAATGAAATGGCGGTCGCACAGATTTTCACCAACCTAACTCCGGCCACTCACAGTCCAGTATCGTCCAATGGGCCAACGTTTTTAGGTAGCCCCTGGTTTTATGTTTGTTCTACAGCCACGCGCTCCATGCTTATACATTTTAATGATTATTATATTGTGATCTTTTTTTGAATGGTCACTTTTTTTGTGGATGCTCTTGTTTTCTATTGTACATTTTTCTTAGAGATTTCGCTTTTATTATTCAAGATTTACTCTTTCTTTTGTACATTTTTTTTGCAGTCCTCCAAAATCATTTTTGAAGTGAAGATGAGTGAGGAAAGGAAGTAATATTTGATTAAAAAATTTCCTCGATTACATTTAGTTACAATAGTTTGATATATTCAGTAAATATTTTGCAAAGATAACTACAGTCCCATTACAAGTTCTTGCTTTTATAATTATATTTTTTAATATTTATGTATTCAACTTATAATGAAAAAAAAGTTATAATATTATTATCTCTTACATGTACATTTTACTACAAAAAGAACAAATAAATAATAGAAATATTAACTTCCAAAATAACACACACACTTTAGAATGGTGAATAACCAAAATTTAGGCCATATTTATAATTTTAAACAGTGAGTGGACCTTTTTATAATCAGGCTAAACTTCAGGGTAGTTTCTGAAATAAGTCAGATAATCTATGACGACTATTTACAAATGAATGTCCATACAAATTCCCAACAGAAGCAGAAAGTAGAAACCATTACATATGTATACACAAATTTCTGATCATCTTCTATTCTGCTATAACTTGAAACTGAACTACGTAATATGTTACAAGACATCACACAATAAAGAACATCGAATTCGAAAAATTCGACAAAACGTAACGCGAAATTATTGATGTGCTTCTGAGATTTGAAACACAGATCCAACGACGTAAAAATTTTGTATTTCGCTTGCTATAAAGAACTATAACGCGGGCTTTTTTTCATCTTCGATTTTTCGGGAGATTTTTTTGCATCATTCAAGGGAAAGTGTTGTGCCTCTCGTAAATCTCATCAAGATGTGCTGCCGGGACGTAAACGACATCATGCAACGAGCTGTGTTTACGGCCATAAAAAATGTAGACGAGCGCCCCCACGGCCAGCCAAACCGAGACACGTGCCCATGTGGCACCACTGCATATTTTAAGACGCGTTTTAATTAAATAAAAATATGTATTGTTGCAGATGTGATGCGATTTCCTTTAATTATGGCTGCAAACGAGTCGAGCAGCCCACGAGAGCGCTAGAGTCAATGTTCGACTCGAGCTCAGTCAAACTCGAGCTCGAGCAGTTCAATCGAGCAAATGAGTCGAGCCTCGAGCATCATTTCAAGAATCTCGTAAGCTCGACGAGCCGCTCGAATTTTTATTTACCTAAATACCCCATATAGTTTAATTATCAATTGAACACTAAGACCAAAATTGTATATTCAGATTAAAAATAGTACCTTTATATGTAAAATTTAGTTGTTAAAATTTCGAGCCGAACTCGACATTTCGAGCATCAAGTCGAGCTCGAGCATTCTTATTTTTTTCACGAGCAAAGTCGAGCAGCATTTCACATGGCTCGTTGAGCTTGAGCAGTGAAGAAAAAAATTTGATATGCACTCGATAAGGATTTGTTTGCATCAACCTTGGAGACTTTTAGCTATTTCGGTTAAATTGTTTAAGTGTGGTACAGGCAAAAAAACTCACCCGAGGTTTATTAACAAGTAGACGTTGATCAAAATGCAGGTAATAGGCAACAAGGGAACAAACGGGCAAATGAAGCCTGAAAGGAAAAAAACAAGAAAACTCAAATTAAGACAAAATTGTGGTCGTGCAAATGTATAAACGAGTTAAAATGGGTGGAAGAGTTAAATACCTCCCGTGTGCCCGAATTTGTGCCTTGCGTCGTCTTGGTCAATCCAGGTCAACAAACCCAATCCAGAGAGAAGGAAAATGCCACCAAGTCCACAAAGTGCGAACCGAACAGGACTGGTGAAAAATCGATTTGGTTAAGAAAATTGTTGTAATGGATGAAAATCGAGAATTTAAAAAAAAAAAAAAATGTATTAAAACCTATAAAGGGTCAAACTTGATGCGGAAGAAGTCAGAATAAGAACTCCGATGCACGTGATCAATATAGACCAGCCAGCAATTCTCCTTCTATTTCCCTCGTTCGTGAGACCTTACAAGAAAACATAAGGAACCCAGAAAATAAGAGGTAAGTACAGAATTCAAGATAATTGATCGACAATTTTATAAGAGAATCTTGCATTGAAAATCATGTATAATGATATCTACCGTGATGTTAAAGCCTCCATTAACATATTTCTTACCAAAGCCCTAAGGTTATGTTTGGTTGATAAATTAGCTGATAGTTGATAAGTGATTTTCGAGCTTATATCTTATGACTAAAGCTATCTTATATGATAAATCATATAAAAGTGTTTCGTAAAATTAGATGATAAGCTAACTGAAATAAAAATTTCAATAAGCTATCCAAAGAAGCTTATGAGATAAGCTCGAGCTTTTTAGAAAAGCTCGTCCTACCAAACGAAGCTTATTTAAATACAGAAAGCTTATAAGCTAACTTATTTGTTTACCAAACATAGCATACATCAACTTTGATTCACTATTCATCCACTCACATAATTTTAACTAGCCATCACTTCACATCATTCCTCTCCTACTTTTACATCAAATCAACTTTAATTATTTTATTTGAAATATAATTATAATATATATTCAAAATCCGACTAACACTGAACCATAACCATACCAGACAAAAAAACAAAATCAAAACATTTTATATCCAAGCATCCCCTAAAATACTCCTCAATTGGATTATATTCAGCAATTTATTTAAGCATCAGAAATCGAACTTACTGTTTAACTGCCCAGCTGTTTTCTCGATAAGTGGATCCTCAATCCTCGTTTTTTTACAGGCTAAAACCGGAACAGGCTCCACGTCAGCATCTCCGGGACTATTGCTCATACTATACCGCATATAAACCGAATCTATAGCTTCTTGAAAGGACGGTGGAAGTGGAACCTCGTCAGGTGGAACATATCTCAGTATAAGCACAGAAATTGCCACCATCGTAAAAGCCAAAAGTGTGCCGACACTAACCTGAAAGTAAAAATGTAAAATTCCGGCTGTTAAAAGCCAAATGCAATTAAACT